GTTTTGACGATGTAAGGTAGTGTATCACATTACGAAAATATTGGCAGATGAACCATAAAGCAGACAAATCAAGGTAAGAATTCTTTACTTTTAACATGTCCATGTACTGCCGATTCTGGGGTGTCTGATGAAGCTAAATTAACCCTGTATTGGTCCACATTTAACAGATACAAGGTAAGGTATTCTGTATAAATGTTGATTTAGTCAAACTAAAGTTTCTAATATAAAGGAACACGTTTTTCATCTATTGGCGGAGATAGGGCACTTCCTAAACTTGGAGGTATTTCGACATAAAGTCTATTATAAGTTGCTTTAGATTTAAAAATAAATGTTATACATGTCTAGCCAGTATGTCTCTTATGCGTTCAAAAATGTGGTTTCTATGCATACAGAACATTTCTTGTATTCTTTTGTAAGTAAGCTTAACTGTCAAGAAAGGGTTTGTCTGTACTGTTTTTGGTGTTTTTTTGTTAAGAGTTTTTTTTAACTTAGCTTTCAAAACACAATATTTAAGAAATACAAGAAAAAAGATATACTGAGCAATGCTTTTGAAACATAATTATCCATTGTTAAACTAATTGCGGTCTTTTGGTAATACTAATACCATCAACATATAGAAGTAACACAAGAAAGATTTTACCGCAATTCCAATTCACTTTTTTATAAGTGCAAATGGTCTGTTTCATATAACTATAGACTGACTCAAAAATGGTTTTACCGCAATACCAATTAATGTTTAGCATGTGAGTAGAACTCCCACTTCTAGACTACTAATGTTTTAATAGTCTTTTTTAAGCGTACAATATACATTTCGCTTAAGAACTTCGACCTTTTGATGTAAACAATATTACTAGTGAAGGACTCAAAGATGGTACTTAATATATTTGAAAAGAATCAAATGTTTTGACCGATCAAATGGATACAGGTTTCTCAATGGCTCCACTCTTCAATGAATCTTGTTATTAACATTGATTTACTGTCATTTAGCGTACAAACTGTTCACTTTATACCATTTAATTAATAGGAATCGGTCTTGACTACAATCTCTTCTTATCGTGTTAAATCCTTCTCAACGTTGACAAATGTCAATTATAACAATTGACTTCTACATGCACCTTGCAATCACTGGAAATGATTCATCCTGTTTTATCAGATCATGGTGACAATTACCTCTTGCCCAAAATAAAATAAAGTCTCGTTTCTTCAAAGTCAATGATAAAGTTATACATCAGAATATCTCTTTGGTCCGGAGCAAAATGGAATAGTTTTCGAAATATCTCCACTCAAGAGTTTTTAAAAATGCATTCGATGAATTCCATATGTTAAGAAAGGTTATGACATATGGCAAGCTGGTTATTTTGACTGCAAAGCAGGAAGATAAAGGTTTTTATCAGCCTTGTCAACGTACCAAGACATTATACTGCAACATTGTATCCCTATTCTAAAATCAGATGTTAAAATGCATATCTTCGTGTATCAGCTCCATTGCATGGATGTAGTGCGATATATTTGAAACTGTATATGCACTAAAGCTCGCAAGCTCTCATGTTTCAATTTTTTAATTGGCTCTTATCGATTGTTTTTTCGTGATCGGTAGAGCGTACTCTCTCTAATTTAATGGAAAAATTATGCAAGATATACTACCAATAAGAACAATAATATTATGCTTGTGTTTAGTAACATATGGAATTATTATTTAAGTTCGTCAACAAAACAACCACTTTATCTATTGGAATACGTAATTTGAAAGGATGTTGCAGTCTTTTATATTGTCTAAGGTAGTAGATCGTTCTTTAACTAATGTGTTCAGAAAATGATTTTCACTTCTGTCGATTTTTTGGTCATCATTAAATGGTTTTCATAAATCTGTAGTTAAGTCGTAATATAGTTTTGTTTCAAGTATTGTATTTAGAAATCTATATTCTCGTTTGTAAAAGTTTTCTAAGCATAATAAAGAAATAGATAACATTTTTTATACGCCAACAAAATTTGCTGCCCGAAAGCTTCACAACATTCCCTAGAATGTTATAAAGGTTTAAATGTTTGATAGAAATCAGAAAATTTGTGAATTGCTTTTAGATTATTATTCAGGATTTGTTCTACATTTTGCATTCTAAATATGAGCTATCCAGTAATGCTGTGAATACAGTTCTGTTAGTCCTAAAATGACTGCTTTGATAAAGAAAATAAATGGTTGTAATAATGATGTATATAATACACCACCCTCAAAGAAATTTCTCCTACATAAACACAAATTTGAAAGAATTAATGTGTACGCAAGGTTATATATTTATATGAGAAATAAATTCTTCGACTAACATTACTATTTCGAGGCTGATATTCCATCGGTAAAATTTGATATACCTTCGAATTCGAATGTATGAAGCCACTATTTGAGAGATATTCAAAGTATATGGTATGTAGAAAATATCATAATAGTCAGTGCCGACATTAATGTTAAAGTTTGTTACCGTGACTGACACGTTTCAGTGGTTTGAATAGGACAGATAATCAAGCCATTAAAAAGTCGATAAGTTTACACCTAAATCGCTCAATATACAAGAGATAAAATATGTATTGAATTGCTCTAATAAAAGTGAATTAAGAATGTTGTCCTTGTGAGAACTGAAGATATAATCTGAGTATTCCATACTGCATGCAATCGAGTGATTATTAACCGGAAGGAACTTGTCAGATTTGTTATATATGGTCGATAATCTGTAGTGTGATTATTCTGGGATAATTTAAAGTAAGTAATTTCAAGTATATCAGAATGAAACCGACTGCAATTGAGGGCTCGAGTATAGATGCTCGACCAGTTAAGTTATGTAATATACTGCACTATAACTTGAACAAGTAATGAATCTTTAAGAATGTTTTAAACTATCTCTAGCATATATGAAGCACAATCTCTTAAAATAAAATAAGGGACATAACAGGACCGTAAAGGTAGGTGATATAAGTGTTTAAAGTCCTCATTGGACATTCTCACGCTCACGAACAAATCATCCGTGGTGTCCGGATTTGTCTTTCATAGGTGCGAAAGGCGAGGCAAGAATACTTACAATGCTAACGGATACCAGTTCATTTTCAGTCACTGCAAGGGTTTCTGTCATTTCGTCATTGCTGGTTGAAATAGCTGTTGTCGTTAGATCGTTATTACTATATAATAATGTAATATTTATTAGTTTTCGTGAGGGATGGTTTGGTAATGTTTTTTGTTAATTTGTTGGTGTTAATTTAATATAATAATAATAGAAACTGTATATGAAACATCAGCAGATTCTTATTATTTTCATTTATAGTTCTAAGTGAATAACTAAACCACTAAACTAAACCCGAAATCCAAACAACGTACTGGACTTTTTATACGCCCACACGTAAGATGGGCGTATATTGTAATCACCCCGTCGGTCCGTCCGTTCACATTTGGCTCGTGCTCACTCTACAGGCTACAGTTCTTTATGGATTCTTTTGATTTTTATTTTGTGTGTCAATGTCATTATGAAGATGATCCCTATTGATTTTCGTGATGATCGGATAATTTTTCACCGAAATATCGTATCTGACTTGACGTTTTTCTCTATTAGCTATATTGTGCAACTCGTGCTCACTCTACAGGCTACAATTTTTTACAGATTCTTTTGATTTTTATTTTGTGTGTCAATGTCATTATGAAGATGATCCCTATTGATTTTCGTGATGATCGGATAATTTTTCACCGAAATATCGTGTCTGACTTGACGTTTTTCTCTATTAGCTATATTGTGCAACTCGTGCTCACTCTACAGGCTACAATTTTTTATGGATTCTTTGGATTTTTATTTTGTGTGTCAATGTCATTATGAAGATGATCCCTATTGATTTTCGTGATGATCGGATAATTTTTCACCGAAATATCGTGTCTGACTTGACGTTTTTCTCTATTAGCTATATTGTGCAACTCGTGCTCACTCTACAGGCTACAATTTTTTACAGATTCTTTTGATTTTTATTTTGTATGTCTATGTCGTTATGAAGATGATCCCTATTGATTTTCATGATGATCTATCGATTTTCATGATGATCGGATAATTTTTCACCGAAATATCGTGTCTGACCTGACGTTTTACTCTATTAGCTATATTGTGCAACTCGTGCTCACTCTACAGGCTACAATTCTTTACAGATTCTTTTGATTTTTATTTTGTATGTCAATGTCATTATGAAGATGATCCCTATCGATTTTCGCGATGATCGGATAATATTTCACCGAAATATCGTGTCTGACTTGACGTTTCACTCTATTAGCTATATTGTGCAACCCTGTAGTCACTAAAGACTGTTTAATCATTTCTGACAGCTGCCAGTGGGCGTATGTTACCTTGCCTGGCAAGCTACCTTTTAAAAATGGAGTGCATTTTTGCGTTTTAAGCCATTTATTGTGCAACAAGAGAAATGTTACCATTTGGTCCTAAATCGTCTCCTTCCCACGACTTAAACGTGTATCTCTTTACATATCAACCCCTTCATCACTGAGCTTGCTGTTGTAAGCACAACGTGATTTATTACATTAGAAACTTAGAGTATAAACAAGCACTTGAGACGGTATTATAATCGACCCGAAACAAATCTTTTTAGAGACGTTTTAAGTAAACATAGATGAAGCATATTCATGGTCAATACTATATTATACTTGCGAAGGTTTTGTGGTTCTTTATTGGAACCCATTAAAAAAGAATTGTTCATCGCCGTGAGCAATAGAACAAAGATACTAGTTTGATAAAATTCTCCCGTGATATAACGCTCCCACAGTGAACCTCCATTGGGATCGTAACAGCAAGGAAAGTAAGCATATAGTATCTAAGCTCTCGGATTCTAAGTATTTCTATAACAAATGTCTCATTTTCTCATTTTAGATTGGTCCTGAATTGATGTATGGTATGTCTACCAAGAGATAAAGATGCACAGAAGATCGACTAGAAGACAACATTATGGAAGGAAACATATCACTTATAGCAATGATTATTCTTGTTGTATTCTCTGAATTAAGCACCAGTATCGGGAACCTACAGATAACCTTCCGTGTAACTGAAGAGGAAGCACCAGGACTATTGATAGGCTACCTGAGAAATGTACCTGGACTTTCAACGTCAGAAAAAAATCTTCGATACAGTTTCTTAAGTTTGAATGATCTTCGCGTCTCATCCCTCTTTCGTATCAATTCTGTTACAAGCGGCCTTGCAACGGCTAAGAAGATAGATAGAGAACAATTTTGTGAGTTTCTAGTCGAGTGCGTCATACAATTTGATGTGCAAGTTAGATCTGTGGAATCCTCATATTTTGAAATATTTGTAGTTCAAATCATTGTTGAAGATATAAATGACAACAGTCCTGAGTTTCGAACGAATGAAATTACAATTTTTATTCGAGAAAATACAAATATAGGTTCTGGCTACCGTGTAAGTGGTGCTGTGGATCGCGATGGTACTCCAAATAATAGCGTTCAGTTCTATGAATTGGTTTCAAATACCGATGCATTCCATTTCAAAGAGATAAAGAAGTTGGATGGATCAACTGATATAGAGATTATCATCATGAATAATCCAGATCGCGAAGTGAAAGGTTACTATCGTTTCTTCATTGTAGCCAGTGACAACGGTCATCCACAATTGTCTTCAAAATTGATAGTAAATGTCAATATTACTGACGAAAACGACAATGCCCCTGTATTCTCTGAACGGAATTATAATTTGACAGTACGTGAGGATACACCACCTTATACAGTGATCGGTAAAGTGCTAGCAACAGATGAAGATATTGGCATCAATAGTGTTCTTATCTATAGTCTCAGTTCTAAAAGGAGTGAACTATTCCAAAATCTATTTGCTATAAATCCTAAAAACGGCCGCCTAAGCGTAAAAAATGAACTGCAGTTGTATTCTGGAAGGCAGCTTAGTGCTGTCGTCGAAGCGACAGATAGTGGAACTCCTTCATTTACTTCCCAAGCCATAGTTACAGTTACGATAATTGACATAGGAAATAATCCTCCTCGAATTTCCATAAGTCCCATCGCGTCTAATGACGGTGCTGCCATTCTTCTTTCGGAAGCATCACGTGTTGGCACTCCAGTGGTACATGTTGAGGTTATTGACATGGATCGTGGACAAAATGGTGAGGTTGAGTGTAAGTTAGTTCACGATTACTTTATACTACAGTCACTGAAAGGTCGTGGGTATATTGTACAAGTTAAACGTACTCTTGATCGGGAAGATGTGGATGATCATAACCTTACTATAATGTGTGAAGATTTCGGAAATCCTAGACTGTTAACAAAGGTACATTTGTACGTTAGACTCTTGGACGAAAATGACAACAGACCGCAGTTCACTTCCAATGTGTACCAAATAGACATGGTAGAAAACAATGAGATCGGCAAATTTATTGTTTCGGTTTCGGCATCAGATGCTGACACAGGACGGAATGGTCTGATACAGTACTTTATCAGCCTTCCATTTGAATCATTGTTTCAAATAGACAAAACTTCAGGTGACATTACTACAAACTCAAGCCTTGATAGAGAACGTTTTTCCTCTTATAAATTAACAGTACTAGCCATAGATATGGGTACTTCGCCCTTAACTGGAACATGTGACGTGCACATTACAATATATGATCTTAACGACAACAGACCTATGTTTGACCACGATCCACTTATATTTTCTGTGTTTGAAAATGTTGCTTTAAATACTACAGTGGAAATTCTGAAAGCCAATGATGCAGATTCGGGAGAAAATGGCGAGATTACTTACTATATGTCAAATAATGCAGTAAATAGTTCTTTTTCTGTGCTACCAAGTGGCCTTGTCAAAACCAGTGCGCATTTAGATTACGAACGTCAAACGAGATATGTCCTTCAGGCTGTTGCTTCTGATAATGGTGTTCCACAACTCTCAACATCCGTTACGTTAACAATATATGTACTGGATATAAATGATCACGCGCCCGAGATACTGTCAAATGACAGTACAAGTGTTGTAACCGTACCTTCCGACACTAAAGTTGGTGTTCCCATTTTCAAAGTAAATGCGTCTGACAAAGACGAAGGGGAAAATGCAAAATTAATTTATTCCTTAATTGGTGGAAATAGCGATAGCATTTTTCTAATCAGAACTAAAACGGGAGAGGTTGTTCTTACCAGGAGAATAACTCCAGAGGACAAGGAGATACATAACCTAACCATCTCTGTGAGTGACAATGGAAAACCTTCGCAATCAACACTTTCTTATTTTAACGTCCAGATCCTGCATGTGAATTCCACTTCAAATCTAGAAAAAGGAACAACTGAATTCAAACATACCATAATAATTATAGTGGTTGTTACGTGCCTAGTTTTACTACTTTTCTGTGTCTTACTTGCATTTGTCTCGTACATTCGAAAATCTAGAAACTTTTATCCAAATTCAAAGAAAGTTCATAAAGAGGAATACGAAAACATTAAGAATCAAAGATATGTATGGCACCGTGCTAACGAACAAGAATTATCAGTGCCTGTTCAAGAAATGGATTATGGGCATGTGTTAAATGGTGTCTATGGGGAAGACGACAAGAGTTGGCTTGATTATGGCAGATGCATTGATCTTCACGAGAATAAGCAGTTAATCACTTTTAAGGTCAGTCTGAACAACAATTATTTGTTCAGTAAGTTGATATGACGATGAGTTTACATGGTAGTTGTAATTAACGTTTAATTTATCAGAGCTTCCAAAGATGGCATTAGCTTACATGTTTTCGCTTTTCATAAGTATCTTTAACGTGCACAGATTGTAGAACACAGAACCTCTGATAATTGGCCAATCCAAATTATTAGACGCTCTTTTATGTATTAAGGGTTTTTACACACCTCATTGGATTTGCACAAAATTTCATTATTTACTTTCGAATTTGATTGTGCTTATTCTTTACACATTCCGACTATCATGGATACTTGAATAAGTGAAACTATACATATTCTTCATTATATGCTAAAGAAACCACATGTGAATGTCCAGGGTGAAAGTGAAAATAACCATCATTCGGTTTTCTTAAAGTTATAAAGAAATCAGAGACTCTCCTTCGGTATAAAATTCGCCTCATATTATTCTCCTTTTCAAAAAGGACCTCGTCTTATGACCATGTACCAAAGAACATTCTCATATGCAATGGAATAATTACTAATTAGATTCCATATGTGTTTTTAATTATAACATGCTTGTTTCAGGGAAGTCCCATTGGACCTTGTTGCTACTTTTATATTGTAATAATTAATTATAGACCTAATCATAAAGTAAAATCTAACTGTATGATGTTCTAGTCCTTAAGGAATTTGTAAAAGTTTATTCATTATGTAAGTAACCGAAGCGCAATGGTTTCTTAGCATTATTAGAAGCATACTCATCACAGCTATCCACTTTCTTCATTAGTTCTATTACAACACAGCTACTATATTTTGGACATGGCTCTTTATTGCTAAACATTGATGAGATCGTATTTCGCAACATGTCCTATCTTTTGCTACACACTCAATACGAAATTTTGCCGCTATGTTTTCATCAGTTATTCCGGATGACCTGTTGAAACCAATGAAATCGTGTTATGTGGTATAGTTTCTTGATAACGATGGTGGAAATGTGTGATACCGTTACCCAAATGGGCTGAAATATTTCGCTATGCCGCAATTTTTTATAGTTTTTAAAAACGGTCCTACATGACACGTTCTAATTGGTGGAAAAAAAACGTTATTTAAAAGTAAAAAAGTAAAATATAGACGAAAACTATCAGAATTTTAATCAAATAGTAATTATTGTACAGGAGTTGAAATTAATATAAACGATATTAAAATATATAATATGTAGGATTTAGGGCATACAAATATAAATTGTTAATAAAACGAAAACCACCTGTTTCCGATATTTTCTAGATATGTATCTGTAGATGTGTTTCAACGTGGTTGTCTGTCTAATTAAGTATGAATTAATAACTACTACAGTCACATTGTAATTATGTATATTATGCTGTAAAACATATGTTGTGTCAGAGACAAAAACCTCATTGAATAGGAGAAGATTCTAACATTAAATTGCCTTGTTATTGATAACTTGCAAGGGTTAAACACAATTTCGATAATATAAATGCATATTCAGATTCAGGTCTCTAAAGCGTCAGTTATAGGTGATTGTTTTGAATAAAGCGAATTAGTAGTGTGCTGGGCTCTTTCCTGTTTGCAGAATAAGCACCACATACGTTGATTGGATTTTATTCAATTCTTCTGACTTCATTCTTTTTGCAGTGTCGTCCCCAAGATTTAGAAATTGGTTCATCTGATGAAGGTAGTGCTGTTGATGATAGTGGTCGAGGTGCTAGCGAAGAAGACACTGTGGTGAAAATACAAATTCTGGATTCAACAGGTATTTATATGTGTACAATTTAGTCATGTCTTCAGAATTCAAGGGGAATTTGATTAGTAGTACTGAATGATCGTCATCTATGTTGACATCTTGCCATTACCTTACTTCTGGACTCATACTGTGGCGAATATGTTAGCGAATGTACTTGCGATTGGAAATATTTAACAAACGCCGTGTCTTCGTAAGCGTTGGTAACAAATTCGAAACGTTCAAAAGTCATTCTTCGACTAATATCGACAAAGTTCCAGCCGAATGTTGTGCGAACAGTTATTCGCCTTCGATATTGGTAATCCATTGGTAACGTTGGTAAAGCGTTGTTACAAATGTTTTTCCATATATGCTATGCCAACGTTACGAATGGCTTACAAATACTTTACCAATTTTTTAGAGAAATTCTTGCGTACACTTGCCAATGCTTACGAACGCTTCCAAGTGGATTGCCAGTGCTAACGTACGGTTACCAATTCTTGCGAACGCGTGCCATTAAGAATGTATTGCAAATGTCATGCCAACATTTTAACAAATATTGCGAATATAAATAGCATTCGGTCCAGGGAGTATAAAAGGCCCAATATTCAATTCAATTTCATCAGCACCGACGGGTGATCGAGATGAAAATATTCAATATATCCGATCGCAATTGATGATCGAATTCACCGCGAAATTCAGATATTCATATTCGCAAAATTATTAACCGCAGTTTGAGACCAGCATGAGTAACTAGTTTCTCTCTCGGGATGCTTACTGAAATATTGGTTTTTGTTCATATTGTGAAGTCAATTTTTAGTTTCTAATGGCAGTAGAGGGAGTATACTTCGCTTTGTGAACTTTAGTTGGTCAAAACCTGTTCAAAAGCAGATTTCTAAACCTTTTCCACTATAAGCATCCTCTCCAATTCTTCATTGCGACTTTGATACAACTATTGCAAAATATACCTCGACACACAACCTTCTTTGTGGTAGGAAATGCCCTTGTTACAGTATTAAATAACAACATTTTTGTATTTCTGCATTTCAGGTCAGGAACAAGAGAAGATATATCGGGATGATTATGGGTTAAGACATACTGTAATATGAAAATAGTTGATATTTTTGTATTTGTATATACAGTCAAGTAACCTAATTTCGTGGTAACCTATTTTTCGTGGATTTCCGAAAATGTTTAATAATTTACATGAGCGACCTTGCGCGACCTCCGCATTAGCTTGTTTTGATAAACATGGGTTGTCTGCACAATGTCAGCTAGTAGAATGAATCCAGTAGTTTCAAGCAAGGTAAAATGTATTAATGTATACTTTGACAAATACAAAATGGCGGATTTCAGTTATTACCAAACGTCGCCATTTTTTATCGGCCGAATTGCCTTATAATCCCAAGCGGTAATCGGAATTCCAAGTGTCGTCTGCTAGAATGTAGTCCAACGAATGAAGTCACGTGATCAACTAGCGGATTTCTATGGAACACAAAGTGGACCATATTCTTATGTTGTTTCAGTGACTTTTAGCAATAAATCACGCTACGTATCTTATTTTGTCAGTCACTAATTTTTTTTTAAATCGTGGTTCTTTGAAGGCATTGTCACTAGTTATAATGAATTGATATTAAAGATAAATACTAAGAGAAGTTAATTATACCACTTGGTATCCATACAACGTGTTTTTCTAGACTTATTTATAGATCAAACATTGTACACGAAAATAGGTGGAGCATTCTGCCGCCGTTGCCGAGTTGGTTGCTCATGAAATATGGGTCAAAGTGAAAGATTCATAAAGAAAATTGAAATAAACCAATTATAATTATTTTGTAGAATATCTGAGGAAACATCTAAGACATAAAATTTTTTTTTCGTTTTTTTAACTTTGACGAAATTCGGTGTTGAATCCTTATATCCACGAAAATAGGTTACACCACTGTATGTGGGAGAAACGTTTGGTCGTTTGGATTTGTTTTCTATAAAGATTTTGTATTTGTGTATAAGAGGTGGGAGAGCGTCTGGCCGTCCGGATACGATAAATTGAGATCCAATATGCTTATCCTAGCAAATTAACTTTTCTATCGAGAGAAAGAATTAATGATTTTTTAATGTTGTCATGACAAATTTACTTTTCGTTCTTTGCATGGCCCAGTTGGTCTCCACAGGTTCCATTTAAATTAACTCTGTTCCGCTTCATTCCACATTGCGAGCCCGAAAATGTATGTACATTATTGATTAATAGATAACAACTATAATAAGGAATGCAAATTTTGTTGTATATTTGCTTTATTCCGTTGCTATATCCACCCTGCTGCAAAGGCTGCTATAAAATATTTTCTGTACTCTTTATTCAGTAGAATTTTATATAGGACAATTTCATTTATGCGCGTATTAAACTTCGTTTTCCAACTTTTAAATTTAATGACTTTTCCGTTAAACCTTTGCAACAGGACGAAAGATAATTGAAGATACAAACGGCGTTTCCACTGCATACCGATCACGACGCTATATTGGTAAGGACTAGATAGAAAGAAAGGAACAATTATATTCTACAAGGGTACAACTTAGGTTTACAGTTGATGATCTTTTCTCTTGGAATTGCTTTTTCTTGGATTATCCTCACTCAATTACAGCTTGGTCGACTTAAGACGACACTTTACACGCCGATCAAGATTAGAATCCACAGACGCCATTTTTTCAACTTAACCAATCAAATAGCGTCACGTAACTAACGCTCTAACGGACTGTACTAGCCTCACAAAGATTGTTATCCTCGATACTTTTGAAAGTACTGCCCCCATCTTTCTTATTCGTCAAATTTGAGTAATCGTTTATATATATATAAAATTGATATGTAAATCGCATTGCATCTGATCGTATGTCGGATGTCGAGTATTAATACTTTAAAGAGATAAAGAATGTTTATATTTAGTCATATCAAATAAAGACTGATAGGCAGCAATAAAACTTCGCATTCAGCGTTTAGGACTATGTCTGGAAAGTATATTACCATTAACACAACTACATGACATTGTTTAAAACCATTTAGATACAGATATCGATTTGGACATCACACCTTGCATAACTCACGACGAATAAATCATTGTCATCGATCAATTTAACAAAAAATACGTTGATTGCATACAAAAACAAATTGAATTTGTGTTGAGAAACGCCACTTTTTGACATTGGCTTGATCATCTATTTTTAAAGACGTTGAAATGTGTTTGGCTGTCACTAAGTTTGGTCTGTAATGAATCATGTTAGATACTCAATTAATCAATTGACTAGCTTGTTGCAACCCTACGTGAAACACAAGAAAGGCTAATTCTCTCTTAGGAATAGGCTGTTCCCAAGGTTATTCATCAAAACTTTTTAGCCTTGCTTTAAAACTCACCGGTATAGCTAGTAAGACAGGACGAAATTATTAGGGGGTTTTCTTTAATCGTATTTAAGCCAAGTAGCAGTCTCAAGGAATATATCTTTATCTGTATAATGTAATTTATAATTTATGCTGATTTAAATCGATGTAAAACATTATATACCTACGAAAAACCTAACACACGAGCATACAGTGATCTTCGACTGCAAAACGCCCATCACTGAGAATTGCAATATAGGAACAGAAAACTGTATGAAGGGACTTAACTCTTTTTTTTTCTGAATAATGAGTGATTAAAAAGTAAGAGAAATTCTTGTTTCAAGAAAGATACTAGTAATTTATCATTCCGTGCAATGTTTCACATCACTAAACAAATTTCAGATTGGTTCAAATCTTGCTCCTGCACGAGTCACCGAAGAATGCTACATGAGAGTCTATTTCGCCATGGTTTAAAGCAACTCCATACGCGTGAAGGTGTAGGAAACCACATCGATCAGCGGAACTCGAAGACAAATTGAGTGCAGATTTGATCCTAAAAGTGGATGTGCATCCGCAACTAGTCTTTCTTTTTTACTGTGCAGCAGGTGCATCAAGTCGAATACCATCAATCAAGTTGAATCTCTAATCGTTAGAATTAAAGAACCACGAATCGTGCCAAGAATTAAAACAATTGATCATGTAATTAAACAAGACAGATTACAAGAGGCGGTGTTCACATAAATTTTAAAAGACGACAATCACGAAATTACGATTTAACTTTGGCAATAGAGTGTATTTGTCTGGAAAGCAATATCAAACACTTTTTTCTAGAGCGTAACATGAGTTTGAAATTTCCCAAAAAAGGAAACAGCAGAAAGCATCCCAGAAACTGGAACATGTCTTTGTTTAATTTACATTTTGGCCAAGTAATGTGTTGTTTTATACACGCTTACCAATTAACTGATGCCTCATGCCCCACAGACTGAACTTATTAAATACCTTCAAGGCACACTGCTAAGTGTCTTCATATGTCTACTCAACTGCAAAACAAATCGGACGTTAGACTACAGTTATCTCATTTCCCTTAATTACTGTTCTTCACTCCGTGAATATTGACGTTGCGTCACATTGGTCAATAAGAAGGAATATTTTCAATCCATAAATACAAAAATCAGTAATAGAACTATTATCAAGAATATAATTAGATCTGTTTATATCTATTACAGGAAAATATAACAAGTACCTATCATTGATTCATTGAGCCAATGTGGACATTTGATGTCAGTTGTATATGTTTTCGAGTAAGATTCGAGTATAATATCAAGCACGGAAACTGTCTTACAGTCGAGTTGCTCCACCGTACGATCACATTCTTACCAATTAGCTCAATTTTTTATATACAACAGTTGCAGCACCAAGAACTTTGTAGTGGAAAGCCAATCGTGTTTTGTTTGTTTAGATCTTTAGTGTCAGTTTAACTTTTGTGTCATATTCATACAGTATTACAATACAAGCACATCTAAATTACCATCAACTAGTATTCCTCTTTTGTTGTAGACAATTGTATAAAATTAACAATTAAACTTATCTAAACATCACAATAGCATTTTAATTCGATTGCTAATATGTTTGCCTAATGAGCTGATTGTATTCTGAGCAATTGCGTTTGTCATGCTGAAAATGAACAATACCTGGCTCGCTATTCTCTTGATATTCGTTTCCATATTCAACTAACAGTAATAATAGTTTAGTTATGCCTTCAAATGATCGGGACAGTATCTAAGGTATGGTTTAGTTTCTAATATTTGTTGATATATTTATCTATTCATCTAGTTCCAATCATGTTAAGTAGTCTGTGGGTTTGGGACCGATCCCGAAGGAGTTTTATAACCGAGTCTTACCATTTGCAAAAAAAAAAGACCCACATTGTATAATGCATACCACCATTATCCGTTGTCATTGACCAGATCTGGTTCAAGTCGAACCATTTCAAATTAGTTCAAAATAACTAGAAATTTTGGACCATCATTTCATTAGATGAATGACTCATGGCATACTCTTAATAGTTTTAAATGTTTTTCGTAGGTACAATGCAGTCAGACTGATTCTCAAGATGATCCTCAGAATTACGGAGTGGACTTCTCACAGGCTTACTTTAACCTTGTGTTCAATATTTAGTGTATTGGCGATCTCACAAGATATGCAAGTTGTGTTTCATATACTAGAATCACAGCCTCCAGAAGCTCTTGTGGGCAACATTGCTTTTTTCGTCAAAAACAACCTCCCAAGTGAAGAGTTAAAAAGTTTGGAATATAAATTCTTAAAGAAGGAATATGAAGGAAACTTTTTGTTTCGAGTGGATCTAATGACTAGTGAAATTTTCATAAATATTGTGATAGACAGGGAAGACTTGTGTGCATTTGCAATTGATTGCTTTGTTGTATTTGACATAAGCATTACCTCTAGGATAAGTACATATTTTGAAGTAGTTACCGTGAAAGTAATAATTGGTGACGTTAATGACAACCCTCCAATATTTCCCGATCCTGAGATCACTCTTTTCATCCCCGAAAACGTTTTAAAGGGGTCGAGTTATCCGATTGCAGCTGCAAAAGACTTAGACGGCGGAGAGAACAACTCTATTCAATCATATGAGTTGGTTTCCTTAGCCAAAATGTTTGCATTGCGTGTGTCGCGAAATTTGGATGGGTCATTTGCATTGGAAATCGTCGTACATAAGTCTCTAGATCGCGAGGAAAAGAATTATTATAGATTTTTCATTGTAGCCAAAGATGGTGGTCAACCTCCGCTTTCTGGATACGTTATTGTAAATGTGAACATAACCGACGAGAATGATAACGTTCCGAAATTTTCTGAACAAATATATGACATCTCGGTAATGGAAAATACGCCAGTGTACACTTCAATTGCTGCAGTATCAGCTACTGATTTAGACATTGGTGCTAACGGAAAATTATCTTATCGACTCCGAGTCAACAAACGCAACAAACTCGCAGATTTCTTTGAACTGAATCAAAACAACGGGGACATAAGTGTTCTTCAAGATTTAAGGTATCAGACTGGAAATGAATTTGAAGCGATTGTTGAAGCTCATGATCAGGGTACACCAGCACATTTTACCCAATCTACGTTAAGAATCAGAATCTTGGACGTTGGAAATGATCATCCGATGGTGTCTCTGTCTGTAGTGATTCCCACTTCTGGAAGAATAGCTTTACTTCAAGAATCGGCTCAAATAGGAACCCCAGTTGCTCACGTGTACTATGTAGACAAGGATCAGGGGTCTGACGGAATCGTTCAATGTCAGTGTGACCCTAATCATTTTTCAGCCAAGAGACTTCAAAATGGAAGATATGTTATCCAAGTTAATACGACTTTAGATCGCGAAACTACAGAACATTACTTGGTTTCAATAACATGTAGTGACGGTGGTACTCCTTCCTTGTCGATTTCCAAAGGCTTTGAAATCAGGATTACAGATGAAAACGATAATAAGCCAAGCTTCACGAAGGAGGTGTACGAACAATATGTTATAGAAAATAATGACATACCTAACAAATTACTAAGAGTAGCTGCTGTAGATAGAGATCTGAATAAAAATGCAGTCGTTCATTATTTTCTTAATCTTATGGACGATTCCGTATTCAAAATAAACAGAAATACTGGCGATGTCTCTTTACTCAGATCACTTGATCGTGAAGAACTGCCAGAAATAACGTTTAAAGTGTTAGCCATTGACGAAGGAAATCCATCTCTTACAGGCACAGCAGATATAGTTATCAAAATCATTGATCAGAACGATAATAGTCCCATATTTGAACAAGAGAGTTTAACTATGTACGTTAACGAAAATGTTCAAGACGGAACGCATATCGGTAAAATTGAAGCCCATGATGCAGATTCTTTTCAGAACGGCAAGGTTCAATTTACTATGGTTGCTCTCAACCAAACTGTACCATTCGTTGTGTATTCGAATGGATTGGTAGTAAGCAGAAGAAGCAACTTTGGTCGTATGGACCGATCTTACTCCATACCAATAATAGCTAAAGACGGTGGAATTCCCACAAACACGGCAAAAACGTACCTAAATATTCAAGTTGTTGATACAAGTGATAAGTTTCCAGCGCTTGTGTACATGAACGACAAGGATGCCTCCATAACAATTCCATTTTCTACCAACCCAGGGAGTGTCATAGGTAGAATTATTAGCCACGACAGCGTACTGGACGATTCGCAACTCTCGTACAATATTAACAGTGTAAGCCCAGGTAATATATTTCAAATTCAACCTACTAGTGGGGAAATAATATTAAAACATCAACCAGATGCTCCCATATACAATTTATCGGTTTCTGTGAAATCAAACGGAATTTCGAATTTGAACATAATTATTCGAGTTATCAAATATAGTAAAAGCGCTGTAAATCGATCTGGCCTGAAAATTTCATTGGTCACTGGATCCTTTGTGGGTATATGTCTTCTGTTTATATCAGTGACAACTGTTATTATGGTTTGTATTAAACGTCCCAGAAATCGGAGGTTTGCCCGGAAAGGTATATGTATTCAAGAGGAAACGCGTCCGCACAATTCAGTAGCAGAGATATCATTTATTGACGATAAAGTGGCCAAACTCTGCACAGATTCAGAATCGGACGGAGAAGGTGATTTTTCATGAGTTTGAAACTAAACATTGATGTAAAACTAAATAGTTGCGCTCGATACCAGCTTCACGTAACTGCTTTCAATATTTCTGGATGAACACAATTAACGCTACATGAGTAATTCATTAATAAATCATTCTGTTAGTGTTAGTATATAACTACGCTTATAGGAGATTTTTCGTTCAGAACATTGGTTCGATTCGCATCTATTTGCCTCTTAGAATGTTTTTTATGTCATGATTAACAAAGAAAACGCATGTCATCGTTTCACAATGTATTAGCACCTTGGAATAAGTATTCAGGCAAAAACTCTAGCTAGCAGAAGGCTTGTTCACGTTCTCGATAGATATCCTATTACCGAAACAGTTATTACAATGCAAAAACTTAACCCTCATGAGGGTTTCCTTTAGTTTATGCAGTGTTGACATACTCTTTTATTATTCCATTTGTTGGTAGCATTGTCTTTGATGATCGTTGATGGAATGCTTTCATGACGATGGTAATCTTTTATAGTGTGTGAAGTGGAACGTTAATCGTATCTTTGATAGTCTTTCAAAGAAGAATGTATTAATTAAAGGTGAAATTATGAAATAGATTTGTCAACCTCTTAAACGAGAGTCGAAGAGTGCGAAATGGCATTATATATCTTTAAGTACATGATAGCTCATTTTCTTTTGGCTATAAAGTTCTCTACGAAACAAAGACTGTATAGTCTTCAGCAATTATTTACTTGATTGGTATGATTTACTCACTGTTTGATTAAAATTCAAATGAGTTTAGATTATGACAACTAGGCCTTATAGAATGTCAGTCTTACAACCATTGGAGGACAAATATTTCTATAGAGTATAGTGAGAAAATATATCTTATGATTATGGATTATATACACAATTTTCACTTTAATTGGAGTTATTTTCACATATCTAATTGGATACTGAATATAGTACATTTGTATTTATACTTGTTTCTCATTCCTCTTTGTCCACCCATGATAGTTTCTTGACTAGCGCTTTGCTCTATGAATAAGTTATTCTTAAGATTAGTTAATTCATTCTGGAAATGTTGCCCTACTTCCCTCTAATTAATCACAATCCCCCTCCCCCTCCCTGGTGAGAAGCACTGTCAGAGACAAAAATAATAGCATCAAGTCAAATTTATCCTCAATTATTGTCTTAGGAAAGTAAAATGTTTTTTTTGAATTTTTTGTGTTATCTTTATGAGAAATGGAATATCAACCTCAAAATAGTACTGTTAGTCTTAGAATGTCCTTTCGTTGATAAAAATATTAACATACAAACACAATATGTTAGCAATGTTATTTTTTAAATTCTTACTGCAAAATTTTTTTGAATTTTTAAATTAAGCTTACAAGTCCTTCAATATATCAAATAATAATTTTTTTTTTATCAACAGCAACATCACAAAATTCAACCATTAAAAAATGTTGCTCTTTTGACCCAACCTTAGATAATGTGATAAAGGAAGGGTAGTTACTCTAACCTTATTTACTTATTTACCTCCCCTACCGAATCATGTTTACCTATAGTCTTTATCAAATATCACCAGTGAGATAATAAGATGTCATATCTCATTCCTAAAGGAAAGAATTATTTCAAAATATCAAAATATGAAACATATTTTTGAAAAAAAAGAAAGAAAAAATTAATTTATATCATTTTACTTTAATTTATTGTACTTGGAAAATTTGAAATGTGAAACAGACTATAAATACAAAAGGGGAGAGGGATCTAATTGCAATTTAGAAAAATACAAAACTCTGTTTTCCACACTGAAACACATCAGTTTTCAGTTCTAAGCAAAATTAAAAATCTAACCATGAATGAACTATTTCATAAAGCAGAACTTCATTTCAAATCACTTAATTTGTAAATTATTATAAGTGATTGGCTGTCTAGCATAGCATGTTTACTGCAGTTCTAAATAGAAAACATGGCTCCTTGACCTAACAGGAAGCACATAAATTTTGCATTAGTTGTCTTCTCTTGACACTCACTTTGTGCAGAGAGCCAGGTCAACTGATACTTCTAATTATGTCTTCAAAGTTGCTTTTACAGGGGCCCATTTTCAGCCAAAATATGTGACTTTTTGGGTTAAAATTACTAGGAGGGAATGTGTTTCTTTTCTTCTAAACTTACAAAAATTATATTTTTATCAACGCGGAGGAATTTTAAGACTAACAATACTATTTTGACGTTGCTATTCCAATTATAAAAATAATGAATAAAATTCATAAAACGTTTTGCTTTGCGCAGACCAAATGAAAGCTGTAGTAATATGCATCTGTTCCAAGCTCAAGAGCCCTTAAAGGGACACTTCGCTTTTTTGTGGGTCGAACATTTTTTTTTTTGTCAAATTTGTGAAAGCTATACAACAAAATCGAAAGCTGTTCTCGTGAATGTCGTTTCGGCACTGAAACGATGCGATGTATTGAAGAAGGAGAATCAAAATTCGGCTTACAATGCCGAATAGTTCGTAAAGACCATTTCATTTCCAGATGTACATGGATATTATTAACAATGTAATGTAAGGCATGAATAAATAAAAGAAAAGCTTTGATGTCCTAAAAACCTGTATTGTTTAATCTTGTTGGTTCTTTAAAGTATTTTCAGATTTCACAGCTAGAATTGTTTGCAGTTTTCATTAATTGAAGTTAAGAAAAACACAGATTAACGCAATTGCGAGTATAATTCCTAGTCTCGGAAAACCTTCAAGGAACGGAAAACAATGAATGCAGATATGATCAATGGGCGTTAATGGCAGTGTATTCAATTGAATACTTTCTTATTGACGGTAAAATCGAAATTTTCAGACATTTTCTTTGATCTTTTTTCCACCATAAATATTTCTCCTTGAGGCAGTCATCATGCATAAATAGTTATTAATTTCCCCCTATAACTATCTTGTAATGCTATCAATATTGTCGTCCGGTATGTTGTGTTGAATGAATCCAGAAATGTGGTCATCACAAACATTCACAACGGTATTAATAAAAGGCTATAGTTATTCTTTAGATCTGAGATGATGTTCTTATAGATTTGAGTCGATTTCGTAATTATTAGATAACATAGCATATTCATATTGTTCTTTCATATACATTCAACACTTTCAAGGTTTTAGCCTCCCGGGAAGATGATTTTGACACCATGGCTTTAACATCATTATCGAACAGTAGATGTAAATAATGTGCTTTAAGTAATAGTCAGTCAGAGAGACAATACCCATTTCTTAATCAAACTAAATTTACTTTATATGATTTGACTAACTTAGAAACGTGCACATATCTGTAGCCCATGGAAAGGAGTTTATTGTCATGGTGGAACCAACTTTGAAAATTCAGAGTGTTTCATCCCAAACTATATATGCCGCAATTGAACCTCGAATACAAGACCAGCAAAGAACCCATCCCGTCTAAGTATCCAAAGAAATTGTGCTTGATGGTTTTCCTACGTTTCGTAGACATAAAGATAGGCATACATCAAGAACCACAAGATAAATAGACATACTACATACTTTACTGGCTCATTGAAAGAAGTGTCAGCCATTGCAGTTTTCAGTTTTTATACCCGACGTTCGGTTAATACGTGTAAAAGTTTCAGTTCGAATATGGAGATATTGTGGTCAATTTTAATTGGTAGGCTCGAACTTTAAATTCCTGACCCAAATTCCGAAGAATGCAGCTTTTTGAATTATTAATGACTCTAATGCAATGTTAACCGTATTTCATTATGTTAACAAAATTAACAGTGCCGTTTCAAGATTAGAATACGTCAGAGCCAAGGGAGATGAGCGAGGCAATCACGTATTATTTCAATTCGTTCATCATTATTCTGATTAGTGTTCCAACACTGTCACATTTCCTGTTCGCCCGGCTTATTGTATGATTAATTCATTTATTATTTAAAGCCTTTCGAGATTAAATTCTGAAAATCTGAGCTGAGTTTAGAAGCCAAAATTCAATTCTTTTATCAGAAATAAGGGATATACTTTTAGAAAATATTATTATCTAAACAGATTTTGGATATTTGCTTGTTAATTGTTCGGATACCAATATTGGTTTGTATCATTTAAGAATATTAGAATATAATGGATCCCGTCTAAACGGACCCTCTTCTAGATTTCGACGGTAAACTCTGTTTCAAATTAAGACATCGTCAAAAACCTCTCTTATGTTTTTTTTTATACCTATGTACCGTGTTTAAGTATAACTAATGGAGATATGGTATTTTCATATTAAAAGTAGCAGGGGCATATATTTGGAAATCGTCACATACTGTCAACGTCCTCACTTGGGTCTTCATTCTTTTAATATATCCTTACTTAGTTTAATGAGGATCCCATTGTAATCAAAGTAACAATGGTAAGGGATAACCATCCGAAAACGTCAAATTTCGCATACCACAATTTATAACAATTAGTTAAAACATGTTTATTCCAAAATCACATAGTCTTAGTCTTATTCATATCATGTTTCAAACAGGCAAATAGAATGAGTTGATTAATTTTCACGACGAATGACATACTGTACTTGATGAACAAAAATGAAGATATAATAATAAAATTCCTCGACATTTTGGCTTTACCACCCAAATTTCTGACTTCGCCAAAATATGGTATTACCATTTAGACGCAATTAATGAGACCAATGAACCTTCATTCAATTTCTTGACGTTCTTTAGTGATATATCTACCACGTATCTAAACTTGAATAACCCAACTTTTTACAAGATAGTTGGTTTTCGATGTATTTACACTGATTAAATGACAGTTAAAATGGAAATCTTGAAATACACAAGTTAATCGACGAGTGAGAAGTTATGTTGTCGAGGGAAAAACAGTTTCTAATGATATATCTACAGTTTGTAGGTCTGGCCAATCTATTATATTAAAGATCTATAAAGTACACCAAAATACCAAATTATTTCCACAGACTGTTCAGATGACAGATTGTTACATCACGATGATCGTTATATTTTGAGCACATTGTCGTAGGTTT